TAACATCGACAAGTACCTTCACAGCAAACCAATTTTGACCACGAGCACGAATTTGCATTTCATCGGATTTCTTGCCATGTCGTGCTGCATAGGCACTAGATTTTTCACATGTCAATTTTAACACGGAGTTTCCTTGAACCATTAGTGGATGCCCACATCTTTGTATTGTCGTTTTCAGCCAACAATGACGAGGTTGTAGATTTTCTAAACACCTATCTATGGTTGGTTGGCAATAACTTCATAGTTTTTTGAAGTGGTTGACGGGGCATAGAAAAATCCGATATTACTAGTGCTTTGGTGTTATGCTATTTTTGAAAATTGATAAGATCAAAACTTTCAATAATATGAGAACTGTACGAATACAAAAAAAATTATACACAAAAATCCCGAAGAGAGCTTCAATGCTCGAGAGTTCGTAAAAAAAATGGAAACCTACATCCCTTACTTACACTAGATAGCAAAAAATTAAAATTACAGTAATGTCTTTTAAATTAGTTGTTATAAATCGTAAACAGACATTTTAAATATTAACATTAAAAAATAATAATAAATTACAAATATCCATAGAAAATGTAAAGCTCTTTTTTACTCATTTTTCAGGCATTACACCTGTCATGGATTATTATTTTTTCCGGTTCTTCTTTTTACACTGCAATGACTACTTTGACTAACGTTTGACAAGATTTTTTTTCGGGCCTAACCGGTTCTTGACCCTATTCAGGGTTTTTTTTTTTTTTTTAATAATTGGCCATGAGAAAGCTTTTCGTTGGAAAAATGAGTTTGATTGGTCTTTTGGGTCTCACTCTTAGGTAACCATGCTGATTTGGCGAGTGATGATTCATCTCATCACTCGCCATATCAGCACGGTAACCGGTTAATGCTTCAACTGGTTACCCGGGTATTTAAATACTTAAAACTTTACGTCTTAGGTAACAAAATGAAAGTTTTTAAAGTACGTACTTAAAATAGGAATCAAGTTAAAGTACGTTACTTTGCATACAATTTGCCCAAATATATATTTAGAAAGTTAGCATCTCCAATAATTATGCTAAAATAGAACATTTAAGAACTTTTTTTGCTCTAACAATTATGTTAAGGTGGAAATCCTCAAATTTAAAAAAAAATCTAAAACTTTATAAATAAATAAAAAAGAGATAAATAATACCTTAAATTTTTATCCATCAATATGAGTTATTGAAATTGAACGAGTAGAAGAGAAAACATATATTTTATTAATATAAGTAATGTTAAAATTATTAAAAAGAGTAGCTGTTGAAATTCGATGTCAAACTTTTTATTGACTTTGAATTTTCATTCTTTTTCTTTTTATTTTAGAAAAAAATTAATATAACTGCTAATACAAACTTTTTCTAACTTTTCAAAAATTCTAAAATAATATAGCATATGAACTATTCATCACATATTATACAATTATTTTTTTTTTTTTTGCAAAAATGAGCGTGGCCCCACATTTTGACTGTTCAAGCAATCTGTTAGGCCACCCACACAAGGCTTTCAAAGCCAATTGCAAATCCTTTTTTTGTCAGAGATTTTCATCCACGTAGGAACCCACTTGCAACATTTGCAAGTTATATTGAAAGGCCACGTAGGAGCCAACTCCTCACCAATTTCTTTTTTTTTCTTCTCATTATTTAAATTAATTAATTTTTATAATATTAATATATGCATTAATTACATTAATTATTCTCATTTAAAATTATTCTATGCATGTATATATGTTATTTAAAAAAATATAAATATAATATAACTAAATTAATTTAA